TTCAAAGTCTTAACCCGGAATTTGTCTACATAAAATGTGTAGCGCACTTTTTGTATGGTTTAGCGGATTCTGAGCTGGGTTAAAATGAAATTTGTCAAAAGAGTTATTATTTTTTGCCAGTGCACTATGACTGTCCCAGTGCTCTGTCTTCTATTTTCCATTGCGATTCACCTGAGTGTTGATTCAGATTATCTTTTATATTTAAAATTGGTATTAAACCACAACTGTAAGAAGAAGATAATATGATATATTATTGAAAAAAATTATGAAACAATTTTTATTTATTTTGTTTACAATATTCCTAGCTTTAGTGAATCTTAATAAATAAAACTTTTTTTTGCATTGTCGTACAATATTTATAAAGAAAAAGATGTATTTTATGAATATTTTATATAATGGTATATATTGTACAGCTTCCTTAAGTTTAATTTTGACAAATCTTAATTTGTGAAATATGCTCTCGCATTTTCCAATATATGCAGATCTCGTATATGACGTGATATTCACTGAGATGTAAAATATGCGTTCGACTTGAATAAATCGAATATCGGAGGCATCGAAGTGAATATTTTTTCTTCTATCACGAAGAAAACGTGATCCATCGCTCGTTTTCGTTTTTGTTAAGTTGAACAATCTTTTTTTCTGGATATATTCCACTATACAATTATTTTTCTTCATATTCTTAATATTGTTTTTTTATGAATGTAGCTTTACATAATTAAATTAACATTATGATAGATTTTATTAAAATATATGAAAATATTTTATTCTCGATTATTGGTAATTGTGAAATGCGTGAGCATATGCAAAGATGAGGTATCACCAACACTTTTTACATTGGTGAGGTACCGTGACACAAAGATCTTTTTGTAAATATTAAATTAAAGGAAGAAAATGTTACAAAGTTATTTGATCTTTGACGAAATATTTACTCTTCCTTTCTATAAAAATGAATTTAGAGTCGATGCTAAATAATCAGGAAAGTTGAAAATGTAGTTTTGATATGAGAAAAAAATTCTATCGAACAAGTAAATGTGCTATGAATGGGACAGAGTACGAGGATATACTGACATTATTTTGTAATGTATGATGGCAGGATAAGATCTTATTGAGCCTTACGACATTACTCGATGGCAAAAAGAAAGAGAATACTCCTTTGCGAGAAATCTAGCAAAGAGGAAAGAAGAAAAATAAGATAAAAAATGTTGAGCATAGCTTCAGAGTATAAGAACCGGAGATAAATTACAAGGTTCTCTAGGTGAGAAGCCTACCATTTTTTTATCATATTTTCCTTCGTTTCTATCTTTCTATTTCTATACATTTAACCTTTTTACAGTCATTTTTCTTTTGAGATCTCAAAAAATTGTTTTATAAAAGTACTTTGTAAAAAACTATTCTTTGAAACAATTGTTAAATTTTTTTTGTATCAGATATACTTTTCTATTAAGTTTACCTTATTTTAATAATTTCAATATTTTGTTCTATATTAAACATAATTTATCATAAATTAATATGGTGGTTACGTTATACATATTCAATTAGTTATAAACTAGGGATTCAAACTATATTGAACATGTTCATATTTTTTAGAAATAGTAACAGTAATAATTATGGAAACAATGCATTCCATTATAAATTTTGACAAATTATTATATTCGAATATTACAGTCGAGTATTGTTATTTTAACTTATTTAGTTATTCTTAAAAGTTAATTTTAACATTATTCAAAAATTTATTTATTGAAGATTATACAATTGAAAATTACTTTACGAAAAACAATAAGTTGTCTAGAATATGGAATAGATAAATCCAAATATTCTGATAAATATAAGAAAATAAAGATCGCACTCGAAAGGGAGAAATATTAGCCTTTAGAGACTATCAAAGGATAAGATAGAGAGTAATGGGGCGGTGTTAGGTAGGTGTGCAGGAACATCAGGAAGCTGAAAATAAAGAGTACAAAAATGTCGTCTATAGGACAAAATAAATAATAAAATAATCGTTCTATATTTTTACAACTAAAGCACCAGTCTTCTGATTATTTTATTCAAACATTGATCCAAGGAGTCATAACCGTGATAATAAAAAAAAATTGAAATTTTAATGAAGCACACATTTTCCTTCATGCTATATTTTTTGTACCGTAATTTTCGCCATTGATTGGGAAGCTTCGTTACAACGTATAATTTTAAATTTGTTTTATAATATTACAAAGTTTGTTTACCTTTTAGTTTTGATTAAATTAATGAATTTTAAACGACTGATTACATACTAGAGATACTCAGCAGATGAAGTGTGTGTGTGTGTGTTAGTCTTTCCGAACGAACCAACGAGTTAAGTGTGTGTGAATGAGTGTCATGCAGCATTAACATAGAGATGTTTAATGTGTGAGGGTGAATTTTCGCGCTCTAATGTGAGATTAATCAAAGATGAGAAAAGCCGTTGTTGAGATTAAAGCGTGTGGAAACTCCCCTAAAATTACCAGCTTCAAATTAGTCTTAATGCTAAACACAATTTAAGAACAAAATAATTTCTAAAAATCTATATTTTTAAGAGAAAAAACTTGCTTTGAAAATATATTTTATATTAATTTTAAAAGTTGTTATGTCATAATTATTTAATTAAAATTTTTAATTATTATTAATTTTTCCTAATCTATAGGAACTTATAATTATTCCCTACTCTAATCCCTCAATTTAACTTAGTTAAAGAAACTAAGTTGAGGAGAGGTTTATAAACAATTATTTATTTTAAAAATTAATTTTACAAAAAATATTATTTGTTTATAAAAAATGTTACGGTGACGTGACAAAGTGATAAATTCTATTAATATTATATAAAAAAAACCACGTTACTTTTTTTCGCGAGGAACAACAATTTAAGGCCATCCATAAATTACGTAACGCTTTTTTTTGGACATTTTAATGCTCCCCTATGTAACATCGATTCATATTTATTTTTTTTATGCTCTAAACATACATCTAACACGAAAAATAGCTTTCTACATCTGACAGATGTCAAAGAGATGTAAATTTATTAAATCCGATTTTTTTCAGTACTTTTTTATACGTATTTATTAAATTTCAAAATGTAATCTTAAAAATTTCTGTCAATAAGTTGTAAGAAAATAAAATAAGATTTCACAAAATTTGATAATAAAAATTACAACTTAAATTGATTGTACAGTTTTATTAAAGTAGCTTTCAATATTTAACAATAAAGGAAGGGTAATTCTATACCTATAATCCTATAATTATTTTAAGACGTGAACTTTCAACTTAAAGTACTTCGCTTTATTATTCTGAGGAAAAAAAAGTGATGCGAAATTTGATCCACACTCGAAACTCAGTGGGTTCTCAGTGGTTGTTACTTTTTCTCTTGATTGGATTCTCAAGTTCGTATTCCATTAAGCTGGGAGTATCTTTGAAATTTCCAGAGGTTCGCTTTTAGTACGTTACCTCAACCTTTAATTCTTAATCTGACCAATGTTTATTTCTATTTACTTATAAAATTGGTGCATTTACTTTGTATAACATAAACTCCTTTAGCAACTCTTAACGATAGTACACCGAGTGTACAATATTTACTTTGTCATAAGTACATTTGCATGTACTTACACATTCCACTTGCATAAAATTATCTGATTTAAGTTTCACAAAGTGCATATTTGCTGAAATTATACTGGACATTGTAGTATTATTGTGTAAGGTGAAACATAAATTATATATTGCAGAGTATTTTTAAAGCAGACTATTGTATCTAATATTTGACAGTCGAAATAATTCTTAATATTCTAATTAATCAATTTCGAACAATATTTTTATTAATATTGTTAAGCTTTTTACTATGATAAATAAAAATTTTTCGTGTTATTTTTCACGGATGGAGAAAAATATTTCAGAATGAATTCATGCACAAGCTATAATTTGTATTTTGGCAGTTTTGTTAGATGAAAATCTTTCTTACATTCAGTTAAGTGGAGCTACATTTCTTCTTTGGTAAAACGATACTGTCACGAGTAAATTTATTGGATCGCGTGCTTGACTAGACTTCAGTTGAGGTCGACGCGACGATATTAACATGGCTATTGTTGTGCATCCTGGATCAAGCATTCGGGAGTTATCTCTTGTACTCTGCCTTTGGTTCGCTAACAATTAACAATAGCTTTAAACATGTTCTATCCTCAAAATTCATTCATTGCACTTACTCGCTCCAACAAATATATAAACTCACTCAACCGAAAGTTAATCAAAATACATTTCTCACATTTTTTTATTGCTTCTTCCAACACTGAAGAACAATAACATCAGGTTGCGTGTTTCCTAACTGATAATAATTTTCACATTATTCCTCTTTTCATCTATTCACTTTTCATATTATTACTCATATTACAGTTTATGAATTAACTGTTCATTATTCGTGATATGGGATTTATTTGATGTGACATTAAATTATCTAGCAGCCATATTTATTTACCTGCTGAATTTTGTTAGATTCAGATTTAAAAATAGATACTCTGACACCATTTGGCGAGCTGATCCTTTAGCTTAAATAATCATCATTACAGTCTTTTGGTATTCTTGAATAATCGGGACTCACCTCCAATTATGTGTGTCAGGAAGATGACTTCTGGCATCTTTCGCTGACTAAAAGGTCTACATTTGCCAGGAGAGATCAGTTCAGATTTTGGTGCACGTCTTCACATACGAAATCTTATACAAGTATTGTTACTCTACTCGATTTTTTACTCAAGTTCGACTTAGAAGAATTTTCAAGTCAAGTGTTAGAAGTTTCTACATCTACAAGAACACTTCCAAGTATTCAACGATTATCCTGTCACAAATACCTCAAAAATAATCTACAAATGATTTTAGTACTAATCTTTAACTGAATTAAACTTTTTTGATAATCTGTAATTGCAAAAATGTATAAACAAATGATATGAGTACTTTAGAAACAAAGAAATTAATGATGCAAACATATGTTTATGAATTTCCAGGAGGAGGAGTGTCGGCAATCCTTGGATCCAAAGTACGCCCACCTTTCTGATGATCTTCACGTGGAAATTGCAGCTTTAGCCCCACCAGCTGAGGCTCATGCTCGTATCGCATTTGCTCTGGCAGAGGTTCGCAAATATCTTATACCGGACAGTAATGACAACATCCGTCAGGAACAGATGCGTGAAATGGAAATGACTATGGGTGATGACGGTACGCCAGTCATGAGACCTCCCACTAGCATCCTAAGAGGATCAGCGAGACCTCCACCACCGGGTATGCCACCGCGATCAGCACGACGTAAGTGACATCCTACTTATGTAAAACAAGACATTTTTCACTACCTCAATCTTTTTTCTCTTTTCCCCCTTTTTTTTAGAAGAAATATATTATCCATTCGAGGGCAATGTATTCTCAAGTGGCTTTTTATAGCCACTTTAACCCTTTATCTAAAAATGCATGAATATTTTCTAAAATAAAATTAATAAAATAAAAAATTTAATTTAATTTGCTTGCTACTCGTCACTCAGGGGTTTTTGTGATCGCTGATTACGAATCTGAAATCAGATTTTCAAAATAAAAGATGGCGGATCCAATATGGCGGACGAAAAATAAAAAATTAATCTCTAATACCAATACCAATCTCTAAATTGAATATTTTTATTGAGATTTCAATTTTTAACCCAAAAAAACAGTTTTATAACTACATATCAAATCGAAGTTAATATTTTTTTAATTTTGTTAAGTGATGATTTTAAATTAAGTAGACTCTAACAGACTGCCAAGTTCCCCTTTAATTCGCAGAGCCCTTCTTAAGTGTTGCTCGTAAAAATTATTGACGACATACAGAATTTTTATTCTTTGCATATTTAAAATCATTCTAACTTAAAATAAAATATTACTCTCAAAATTTAAATCAGTGAAAGGTTACTGATAAAATAAAGAATAACTCGAAAACGGTAACATATTTTTAAAAAGTGTAATTATGTTGCTTAACAATAACAATTTTTTAGATTTAGTTTTTAATTTCTTAGATTGTGAGATTGAAAAACAATTTTTGTTCATAATACCACGTTGAACGTAAAAAAAAATTGAAAAAAAACATTGTTATTAAAAGAAAATTTTTATGAGAATGAATTTCTAAAGATTTTTTTTAGAAATAGAAATTAATAATTTGAAGGACATGAGGCTAACAAAAACCACTTGAATACGCTTTGAAATTAAGTTGATTTTACAGTAAATGAAAAGATAATTGGATTTCAATCAGCTGTCACTTTCACGACTTTGCCTGAATTCAAATTCTATGAAAAAGATTATTTAAGACGTTATTAATTAACGGTTAGTATTCCTATTCTTTTATTTCTTTAAATTCAATTATCAAGCTTAATATTTTCATTTAATTTTTTGAATTAATCTCAATAATAATTTATTAAATGCTGATATATAACTAAAATATTATTTTGTGACAAAAAAATGGAAAAATCAATAGTTGTTATAGATTGCACTCAAACTTAGTATACATATTACCTATACTTCAATTTTGAACCACTTTAGCATTTTAAATATTTATAAAATTTATCAAAACTTTAAAAAAAAATTTAACGTCATAATTATTTATTTACAAATTAAAATAATTTAATAATTAAAGAAGTTAACTGTTTTCCAAAATAAAGAAATTAAAAATATAAATAAAAAAAAAAGATAAAGAAAAAGTCTATCTATTCATTAAAAACTTTTTTTTATTCTCTCTAATTATTGCATTAATTAAAATTTTTTATCATTTACTTTTCAAGAATTCCTTAGAAAAAAATACATACTTAATAATTTACATATTTTATACATGTAAATGCTGTATCATCTCTTCGAATGTTTTTTCAAAATTAAAAAAAAAATTTAAGATGTGCAAAAATGCATAATTTAAAGATTTATGAAAAAAATTTTTTAAATAAGATATTTCGAATTTTTATGTGTGGTAAATTTCTATTAAGGACGTCATACCCCTTTTATGTCGTCAGTTTCTATACAAAAAGTTTCCTATCTTTTCTGTTCTTTTTATTCTTCTACAAATGTGTCCTCAAGTACTGCTTGAAAAGAACCTGAAAGAATAATAGAAGTTTTTTTTAAGAGGTAGTGTTTTTTTATGACGCAAAAATGTGTGTGTTTTTTTTAAATAGTAACTTGAGAATTCTAAAAATTCTCTTCATTCTTTGTAATTTTTTTCTGAATAATTAGATTTTTTTAAAAATTTATCATAATGAAAGTAAAGAAGTTCTTGAAAAGTAGCACTCAGAAAAAGATCATTTTATTCACTCTCCGGGGATATTTGAAGAGAGTGTGAGCGAAAAAGTCCTGGAGCTACCAGCATCCATATCTCACGTCGTGTATCGACAGCTGGCGACAGCTCGAATTTTCTTCGCGCCATTTCTGAGATATATAAAATGTGTCCTCGTATTCTTTAGACACGTGGTTAACTGCACTTTGCAGAGAGACCGACATCGTCATTGATCTGCTTGTACTTTTTTTTTCCCAATAGCAATCCTTCCACCGCCACCTGCACGAGGACCGCCCATCACTCGTCCAGTTCCAGCGAAAACAAAAGTCCTCTCTATTCTGGATCGAGCAAGAGTCGCCATGGACCAAACCTATGGGTAAATTTTTCATGTCTTACTTTTTTTAACGCAATACTTAAATTTTGATTTTCATGTTTTTTTTCATTATGGTGATTGTATTTTTATTTTATTTTTATTTATTGAAATAAATCCAACAGTAACTTGGACCAATTACAGGATCATCAAATATCAATTAATATTAAAAGGCACAAAGTAGTGATTAATAATTACAAATTGGATTTTCCTTAATAAAACTAAGAACAGCAGTTAAGAAACTGGCGGTAAGAAATACATGGGAGAAGCGCCCTGCTTAAAGTGATGAGGGAAACTCGCGGATTTTCGCTCAATCAATTTAAAATTTCCTACTCACACACTCGCACATTTTGAATTTTACTTGCCCAGAAAAATTAAGACTAGGGACGCGACTATATAAGCCGAGGAAATGCACGTTTCTGTGTCTTTGATTCCTCTAATTTAGTTTGAAAAAGCGACAAATAATTTAAAAATAAAAGATAATAAATATAAGCATAGAATAAGAAATAAGCAAAAAATAAATTTCTACTATATTTTGACAATCTTATCTGATGATATAATTCTCACGCGTTTCATTATATTGAATAATAGAAATTAAGAATATAATGTCTCTTTAAATTTGGACAATACTATTATTTCTTTTGTATTGGAAATTGATAGTACGTGGGTGATAATTACTTAAACATTTATGTTTATGGTCATTCAACTACGTGTTTGAACTCATTTGCTTCTCAGAACTGATGTATCACATAAATTTAATTAAATAATCAGGTTTTTCAATTTCTTTTATTTTAGGCATTATAATTACGCCTAAAAATTAATTTCTTCGAAAAAATGACGAGTCAATAATTTCAAACAATAAACTGATTTAAAAAATAATAATAATAATAATAGGACAAAGTTAGCGGAAAATCAATATTTATGCAATCACTGGTGCAGTTACCCTATAGCTAAATGTGTTAGAAGGAATCCGCTTTTATTAAATTTTTTGTGTATAGTAAAATATTTATTTTATTGAATTTCTAGAATTTGCATTTTAATTATTCAATATTTAACAAAAATCACATCAGAATTTTTATGCATTTCAATTTTTATCAAATGGAATTTCTAGTTAATCTATTTTTTCTGATTCAATTCAATTTTTAAATATTTAAACTCACAATTTAATGAATTTATTTTAATTATTTCCATTTTATTGAATTGAATTTTTGTGTAATTAAATTTCTCCAAATTTTCTACTATTTTTCTCAATATTTTTCTATTTCTGCACTGGCTTATAATTTCAACAAGGCAAATAATATTATTAGATTAATAAATTTTCTATTTAAATAAACTTGCTTATAATGAGTTTTATGCTTCAAATAAAATTAAGTTCTTAACATAGTAATTTAATTTAATTTTAATTAATTTAACATTTAATTTTAATTTCAAATTGATTTCTCAATTGAGTTGTAAAATTAAATATAGGATATTTTTAACCGTTAAAATTTAACTGAATGGGAAGTTATTTTTAAAGAGCTTCGAGGAAATTGTACTGGTCGATCAACGTTGAGTTTTTACATAATTATACTTCTACAAATAAAAGTGAAAAAAATGCACTTCATGAGTGACATAATGTAAAATATTAATATTGAAGAAAAATTATTTCACTGAAAATATCAAATTGTGCACATTAAAAGAAAATAACCAATAGGACATAAATGAATTTTTTTAACAATTTATTTTCAAGAGAAATATAACATTGGAGATATATTATATTTTATTATTTTTTACCTTTTAATAAAGTTAAAAAAAACATCTATATAAATAACTTATAACTTTTCATAAAATCAGAGAGAAAAATATTCTTAAAATTTAATTGAATTAATTAATTAAATTTAATTCTTTCCCAAGAGCCATCATAAATAATAAAAAAATAATCTATATTATATATAGAATATAATATATTTCGTTTTATTTCTAGAACTTTAAAAAGTGTATATTTACCAAATTTAATTCATTTGTTTTATGCAACTTAAAAATTTTTTCAGAGAAGTTCTTTGAAAAAGAAAAAGCGTTTGAGTTATTATTCCGCTAACAAAATATATTTGTAGTTTATGCCAATTGATCCGTGTTCAAATCGTATTCCTACGTTTCCTTTTATATATTTTGTTTATTTAAATATTTTATTTATTTTGTATGTTTGCATGATTTTTATTTATTTTAATATTTATTTGGAATGATAGTTTTTTGAATGAATGCAGAGAATTTTTTTCTCGGTAGATACGAGAAACCCACGAAACATGACTACGAATATGGATCTTCGACCAGTAGCCGATACTCCGATCGCCACTACAAATCCTCGACAGCGTAAGTATCAGTAAAATAATCTTCCCGTTCAGTTGATATTGTTTGGTGAAAGTTTTACAATTGTCAGAATATTTATATATATATGTACATATACATTCACACTTTGTTATTTTTTGAAGCGCATGTACAAGCAGGAAACTCGGTCAACTGTTGTATTTTACTGTGAATATTACGACTAGGGAGGGCTAGTAGTTATTACCCCTATGGAGATTTTGTAGCCTTTGCCATTGTCTTTATTCTCTCTGAAACATAATACCAAAATCTTCTATCATACCGTATGACTCTTCTTCTCCCTAATGTAAAAAGCATCTGTCGTCAAGTTTTATGTTTTGCTTTTTACAGTCTAATTAAATTTCAAAATTTATTTTCCTTCTTATTTTGAAAATATTCGAAAGATCCTAAAACCTTTTCTGCTTCAACTCGTAAATATAAACGCAATTCAATTTTGATATTTTCTTCTCCTTATCGATTTAGATTTAAATACTTGACTAATAATTTTCTCGTTCAATTTGTTCACAATATTAATAAAACGATTCAATAACTTTATTATAAATCTTGAATTATAATCGGTGATTCTATTACAATTATTCCGCAGGATATAATGATGTTACAGTTAAGACCAGTGAATGCAACGAATCGCTTCTCTCTTAGCGTCTGTCTCTTCTTTTAAATTCTGCAAACTTCTGATCAGCTTCAACGAATTTAAGGGGTTACACCACTGTTGGAGGCTGAAATTTAACGTTTTTTGGTATTTTTTTCGTGGAAAGAGAAATAGGAAGATACTTAAATTGAAGGATATTGTTAGGCATATTTTTATGTTTGTACAAAAATTTTTTTTATTTAAAACTCTTCGAAAATGGTTTTTATTGGAGAGGCTCCACTACACGCAGTACACAGGTTGCAGAAGTTAATCTGAAACAAAATAAAATTTTTTTTCTTAATTTACTAACAAAAGTAATAATCAAGAACATGCTTCCAACCGTTTTGGAGACCTCCGCGGTGAGTGCCTCTTTGATGTGAAATGAATTTGTCCAGTGAGGACAGTGGAAACTTTCCGTTGGAGTCTCCTCCGATTTTGATCAGGAAGTCTCCCTTTTTCGTAGGCCTTACACCTATGACACGCATTTGGCTGTAGTCCGGATTCACTTTCCTACGAAGTTTGCTCAGTACGTCAGTATATGTGTTTCCGGTTGCAACTCCGATTATCATTGTAGATCCACTCGTCGCCTTCTTCTTCCTTGTTTTGCTTAAGATTCGGTGCTGCAGCCACCTTCGCAATCTTCTTCATAAAAGGTGCTTCCTCTTGTTTCTCTTTCTTTACAGTCCTCTCTGGACAATCTCCGTTATCAGCTAGGGCATATTTTGCCTTCGCCTCATTGACAAGATCCTGAAGAATCTTTAGTTCGTCCTTAACTGTCGGAATCAAACTTCTTCCCCTGCCGACTTTTAATAAAAATTTTTTTTAATAATTTAAGAATTATTAGTATTATGAATCTCAGTTAATGGATTAATGCTTCCTCCTTTTTTTATGTCGTTTTTTATGTCTTTTTTATATTTAAATAAAGATAAAGCCACTATTTTCGAGTCAATTAACTTTTTCATAATATCTAATAAATCGAAGCATTTTTTTATACAAAGATATATAATTTAGCACGACCTCTAACATTATAAAAAAAAATATAGTGTCAGATCTATAAAATTCGCCAGATCTACTTTAAAAGGATCAATTTAAGAAAGTTCCTTCTACAGTTATTCTGATAAAGGTAATGACAGAAATAGATTCTAGATAGCAACCAGTACTAATTCCTCAACATTAAAGATTTTATCTGAAATTTTATTACTATTCTGAGGAAACGGGTACTACGTACTATTATCATACGAATCACTTATCGTAAAATCTCAATAATCACTTTTTTTATATTTTGATATTCAAGATTACGAACAATAGTATTTTTCAATATATTTAAAAAATGTTTTAAATTTAAAATCTTTTTAAAAAATTAAATTTTTTGAAAGAAAAAACAGTTATATTTTATTAAATTATTGATTAATTAATTAATAATTAAATTATTATTTTTAGCGATGATATGTATCAATCTAGTGGAAGATATGGATCTTACGATTATGAAGATGATTCAATGCCTCACTCATCTCACGATTATTATGAATCATCGGAATATCCAGGTAAGAAAATATTATTTAAATTGCATTAAACATTTTATCATCTAAACAATAAATCATTAATTATATTTTGTTAAGTCAACTAAGAAAATTAAGAAAAAATTTAATAAAATCAAAAGAAAATCGTCTAAAATTAAAAAAATCACTTTTTACAAAGGCACAGGTGTTAATAAATTATATCCTTGCTTTTGTAATTTATCAAAAATAAACTAAACTATGGCTTGTCATTCGCGCATTAAATCTGATCATTTCCTGATAATTTAAATAATTTGTAAATACAAATAATATAAAGTGAAATTTAATAAAATATTAAAAAACTTTTAAACTGTTGAGAAACAAAAAAAATTAAAATTCTTCATCAACTGAAGAAATTTAACTAGCGTAAATAATAATATACTTAACTTTTCTAAAACAAAAAAAAAACGCGCGTAAGACAAACCTAATCTTGTATGAAATAAATTAAATTAAATATTAATTTATCTTAGAGAAGTGTTAACGTATATAAGGGATGCCTGAAAATTACCGAAATTTAATTTATTAAAGAAACATTGTCTTGAAACTCATTTTTATAAAATTAATTATCTTTTATGTATTTATTGTTAAAATTGTAATTATGTAAATTTAGATTTTCTCATTTATTTTAATTAAATTTTAGTTTTACGAATAAGTGAATTTTGAGAAATTTTAATTGTAAATTAATTTCTTCGACATTGTAATTTTATTATTTTTACTATAATTAATTTCATTTGTAATTTTAAGATTTAAGATTTCACTTTTCAAATATTCCAATTTCTTTATTAGAATTAGTAAATTAATTAGTAAAATTTTGGTAATAATTTCTGGAAATAAATTAGTTTCTTGAAATTAAATAATTTTTGAGAATCGATTATAAAAATTGTTTTTGAAGGAAATTCAAGGCAACAATTTTTTAAATTAATTTCAGTAATGTGCAAACGTCCCATTTAAGATAGATTTATTTTTCATAAACGTTTCTTCGGTATTTCCTAAAAAAAATTATTAATAAAAATACCTCAATCCATGAAATTCGCAGAGGATTCTTCAAGCCGCGCATGGAAAAGTTACAAGACTACAACAACTTCAGGCTCGGCCTCGCGCTACCGCACAGCTCCGTATACACGACCCTCCAAGTAAAAATTTCCTTTTAACGAAATTCAAAATTAATGTAACCCCTTAATAATTCATTTTAATTAATTTTTATCTATTGTAAAACTTTACATAGTTTTACTTGCAAAAGCTTTTAAACTGCCTAAAGAAACCCAGGTAACTTTTTACTCTATATTTATTCGTTTTACAAATATTTTTCTGTTTAAAACTTTTTATTTCGATATATTTATTATTTTATTTGCATTATTTTATCATTTAAAAGCTTTTGTTTAAAAAAAAATATTTTTTCTTACTTTTAAACTTTTAAAAATGAAAAATTACATTTATTTTAACCATAACTTTAAAGTTCGATTTTGTAAAAGATGAAAAAATGCAAAGAATTTTCAACTAAAAATACGCGCTTTTCGTCCCACCTACCTTTTCCCATTGATCCTTTTTTTCTTTTTTTTGTCCCCTAAATATATTTTCAGACCTCAGACATCGTTCATCTCTATGAAACCAATGTTCGGAATGGATAAATCGTCAGGTGGAATCGGAAATATGTAACATGAATACATATAAAAATGTAATAAAACAAAACGCGCTACAGCATTTATCGAAAAATGACGCAATCCTTACAACTCATTTTTAAAAAAAATAACTGCTTTATTTCTCTTGAACAAAAATACATAACTCATTCCTTTAATGTCCTCTTAAATCGTGACAGGGCAACATGAATTTTAAGTAAAAATCCTTAAAGATTAATTTTTAATAAAAAATTAATGTGAATTAATTAATTACATATACTCAAATAATATTGTTCGTAAATAATAAGTTTTATCCCTTTTTTCTACGTTATATTAATTCAATAAAAGAGGAATAAATATGTCTTTAAAAAAACAATATAAAATTAATACGTTTACTACAGAATAAAATGTCGACTCTTGCAGTTAATAAGCTATTCTAAAATCATTAAAAATAATAGAAATTATTGTAATGTTAAGCGTAAAACATTAAAATAATAATCATTATTGCTTTTTTCATCAAATAATGTAATCTTCAGTGTAGCCTACAGGTAACATTTGGAAATTATGTAACTTCATGTATCAATGTGTATTTTTTTTCTCTTTTTTATAAAAGTCGTAAAATTTTTCTTCTGAATTACATACTTATATACACATTTAATTATTATATAATAATTAAAATAATGTAGGAAACTTCATACTAATAATAATTATAATGCGAAATACGTTAAGGGGACGTCCAAATTATGAAGTGAAAAATTACTTGATTTTAAAAATTCAACTATTTCTAATAAATAAAATTCTTATCACAAATTTTTAACATTGCTTGTAATGTATCTAATATCATTTAATTTGTAAATTCAATTCGAGATGAGATTGGGCGTCCTTTTAAGTAACTCAAAAATATCATCAACGGAAAATTAATTCAATATTTATTCAATAAATGTATTTGTCATAATAAGGAGAAATAAACATAAAAAATCTGAAAAATAAATTTACCTCTTTTTCAATGAATACTGAATCTTAATGAATCTTTTATTTAATCTAATATTTATCCATTAATAATTCTTTTTAGTTATTTATATCCTTTCAATGTAATTTAAAATTCATTTTTAATTTTCAACATAAAAAGAATAATTTTAGTTTTGCTAATCTTAAAATTATTTCTAAAAATAAAAAATTACAATTATATGGAAATTATTTGTAAAAAAAAATTATTATTTTTAAAAATTTTACAATAAAAAATAAAATTATTTATAAATAAATAAAAAAAATTTTAATAATTATTTTCCTTCATTTAAACAAATCGTCAAAAACATTTAATACAGAAAAACAAATTTAGAAACAAATATTAAATGTGACTATGACCTGAGAATTCTTGACAATCACTGGCGATTGTTTATTTACAAAATTATGCTCGCGATTCAATTATTTATTTAAAAAAAAAATAATAATAATTACGAAAAATTGTGCAACGTCACAATGTGAAAGAACTTTTTGTTAATAAAACTTAATATTTTCACGTAATAAAATTTTTGTAATAAACAATTTTATTTAATTTTTAATTATCCGCATTAAGTTTAATTTAAAAATTTTTAAAAGAGAAAATTAAAAAACTGACTAAAAAATAAAAAAAAATCTACTGTTATTATCAAAACAGGTAAAAAATCACAAAATTTAGAATACAATATAAAAATAAAGTAAATTATAATGATAATTTTCCTCCCAAATTGTAATTAGAATGTGAAAAATTTGATCCACGGAAAATATTCAAAAAACATTTTCATGTCATTTTTCATGTACTTTCTTGTTTTCTTTATTCATTTTTTATGTTTAATCACATCGCTCACAAAACTTTTTTCGTTCCTACAAATGCACCGACGTCACAGCAGACGCTACTTTTGATCCTCCAAAAATGTAATGGCACAAAAAGTTAGGTTTCACTACGAGAAGCTTCGCTACGTCCGTGTATAAATGGCGCTAGTGTTCTTATTTTAAGAAAAGCAAAGTGTCCAACCCTGAGTATATTCCCTTACACCAATTAAATTAAATAAACAAATAAGATACTTAAAAAAAACAATATTCACAATAAATATAATAAATTACCAAATATTAAATTAAAGTTAAAAAAATAAAAAGATTAAGTATAAATACAAATGGGAGGGGGTTTAATAGTTAAATTCTTGAATGTCATCAAGTGACGAAAAATTTCCGCTTTCCGTTTCTTTAATAAAACTTGATCCTAAGAGCTCGATGGTTTTAAAATTTAGCGACTTCAATATTCGACAACTTTTAAGAGCTTACTGTGTGCGCAATTATAAATATATTTTTCTCTCGTGGCCTCTTAAAAAAATCTTATTTAAGATAAACCATCAAGTGGTTATAACTCTCTAGAAAATGAAATGAAAATTTTCAAATCCCTCTTTCATAGTTTCATGGGCAATTTTTTTTTTCCAGATAAAGCTTTTTATCGTGCTTGACGACCAACTGAAACAGGCGACAAAACTTTATAAACGGTTTCACAAACCACCTGAAATGAAGGAAATTAAATTAAAAAAAAAAATTTCCGGATGTCATAAAAATATTATTAAATTGCAACAAAATTTAAAAATAGAAATATAAACTTCCAGATTTTCATTTATAAATTTATCCACACTCTTTTAATATGAAAATTTTTTTAAAAATCTTTTTCCCATATATAATTGATACAATTTTTATTTATTCTAATTAAGCCGAGTGATGATATATCATGTAAGCTTAAATAAAGTGCAAAATATGGTAATATATCGTAGTTCAATAATTTTTGCACGCCAAACTTGGATTAAAGGTATTATAGAAATTATGTCTCGGTTTCAAACAAAATTACAAAAACCAGCAAACATTTTCATTCAAAAATAATTTTTCATACTTGTGATAATAAAGATGAAATATCATGAACTTGAATTATTTTTCTTTAAATATAAAACCATAAAATTTATTTTTTTTATATTTCTCAGATCGTTGAAAACAAAAACATTAAATATTGAAAATTCAAAATAGCTTACGGTGTTTTAAAAAATTCCATGAGTTTAATTGAAATAAATTTCTCCAGGGTTTTCTGGGATTGCTGAATACGAATCATGACTTAGTTAGAAAATTTTTCAACATTGTTGGAATGAAAATTTTTTACTTTGAATTTTGACAATCTGTTGTTGTTTTTATACTCAGTGGCCATAAAAATTCTCATATGACCCTTTTAATACTTATTCGTAAAAAAACGTATTCGTTATTCGTGTAAAAATTTTATTATTTAAGTAGTTATAAACTAAAAGTCCTAAAATTAAAAAAAAAATTGTGGAAATTTTTCGTCACTTACAATTCTTTTATTACGGATTTAAATTTAAAATTTTTACTATTTGCAACAGTGATATTGAAAATTTCCTTTCATCTTTATTATGTCTCAAAAGGGAATTTCAAAAATATTCTGAAAATTTGATAAAATTTTAAAATTAAATTTCCCAAACGTCGTGGCAAATAATATCAAATATTTGAGAGTTTTGGGTATATATAATGTAGACGATGTAAATTGGTTTTGTGACTTATTGGGTTTGACGAGAGTGACTTTAAACTGTATCCTAATTTGAAATATATTCTTATCAGGTGTATAGAAGATCCCTGCAGGTTGCGTGGGAACGCGCTCTTGTGGCTTGAAACCTTTTTGGCCTCTGTCTGAGCCATGGACCGTGAAGCACTTTGATGTGAGTATAGCGCTTTGCTAAGCTTTGAATGGCCCCTTCAACTGAAAAGGGTCGTCATCCAGAAAGTCATGTTATAACAATTGTTTGAATATTGCATAGATGATCGTTTGGGTTCGTAGAAGGTGGAATCTATTGTTTCAAGACTTATAATTAGTTTCAAGTTGGACTCCAATTACACAACATATATTTTTGTCATGGGTCCTCAACTTTTTCCACTGCCGTCTATAGGACGCTGGCGCAAAAATTAATTAAAAAAAATAATTTTACCTTATACAAAAAATTATTCATTAAGTAAAAATAATTGTGAAAAATCGATTTAAAGTCAAATTTCTACACACGTATTTGGGTCTAGAGAAGACGATAGCATGGTGAAAGCCCTTTCGATTGGTGATATGCAAAAGTGGAACAAAATTTAATAAACTCTGGAAATCGCGATTTTTATTGATCGGATTCGGTAAACTAACATGATATTTATTAATATTATCACAAATTTTATTATTCAGATTTAATGTACAAAAAAAGTTGCTTTTAAAATATAATTATTTAACAATTTCTTCGTGTTTATAAAATTTGTAATCAATAAAGCAAATGTTTTGAGGTTAATTTTCTATAAAGTAAAATGTTGAGGAAAATATAAACATATAAAATTTTCTGTCAACTGTATCAGTTTCTAAGTATTGTATATTAATTAATTTACAAGTGATATTTAATTCAATATTATTATTTTTATAGTTATTATCATTTTTAATAGTAGATAACGTTTACTGTCAGGGTGTCGGTCAGTGTAATATGAGCATATAACATTGTGGCTACAGCTACCTTATTTTTGTATGACTATGGCCAGATATGCCTACACTTTTCTGTCCTTTTCTAACGCACGTGTTGTCATGGCAACACGTGGGTTGTACCTCTGCTAGTAGGTTGAGTCTACAATAGACCAAAAACATGAACATGAACGTGAACGTAACATATCCATTTAAAATACATTGTGACGTTACGTTTACGTTCACGTTTTTGGTCCATTCTGGACTACCCCGTACAGCAGAGATTTAGTATTGTTTTGTAATTTACCTGGACTCACTAGAGACATTTTATTACGTGGTTATCAACATGTCATTATTTACATTAACAAATTATTAAACAATTAATAATTTTTTATTTTTTCATCATCCTATCGTCTTCTCTAGATCAAAATACATGTGCACACCAATATTTTTATAGGAAAGAAAATTTACTCAAAATTTTTTAAATTTTATAAATATTTTTATTAGAAACAAAATGATTCGTAATAAAATAAATTTGAAAAGAATAAAATTGAATTAGAGAGAAATTTAGAATCGAATAGAACCTTTATTGTTCAGTATTATTATTTTAGACGTGTTCTCTATTTTATAACGTGTCTATGGTGCTATAAAATTTCACTTGTCATAAAAATTGCACATACCTTTTTTTCTTGTTGTGCTTTAATTAAATTTAAAAAATAAAACACTTGTGTTTTATTTTCAGGTGGAAATCGGGTGCAAAGCTCGATACATAGTAGCTGAACAAATGCATCTGTATCGACATGTGCCTAATATTGACAGAAATGGAGTATTATCGTTAAGAAGATGACAAGATATCCTGGCAATCGAGAACACGTCGATTTTGGAATATTGTGACTATATATGAAAATGCTTCATTCGATATATTGTAATAAACAGCGCGAAAAAGGCCTCATTGAAAATGAGATTAACAAAAAACAAAAAAAAAAAACGAGAATTTTGTGCCTAAATTCCGAAAAAATTTCTAAAAAAAAATCTCACCCAGGTACAAAATCTTAATATAATAAAACTGAATTTTTTATTATTCAAATATACAAAAAAAAATATAAAACATTAAAAGTAGAATAGATGAATTAATAATATGTAGAAGAGAGTATAACCAGAGACTGTCACCGAAATTAAACTAGAAAAAAGTTTTGTTTCGATTCATAGATTAAAAAGTAAATATCAAAACAAATTTTTTCAGTTCTAAAATAGTTTCTTTTAATTTTTTATTTCATGATAATAACGAAATAAGTAAAAATGAATTGCTTTTTATTGTAAGCTCAAAATCAAAACTTAATTATCAATTACAGATTTAAAATTAAAATTTTATTTCAACTTTTGTTTCGAATTCAAAACTGAATCAATATTATAATTAAAATTTTCGATTGATCAAAACCGTAACGAAACTCGTAAACTTTCTCTGGAATAAACTAATAAAATTAAATCATTAAATTATAAACAAACAAATTAAAGAAATATTAATTTATATGTTTAAAAAGTATTAAACATTTAAAATTTTTATGAATGTACATATCTACTTTTATTGAACGAATTTACAGCGACTGATTTTAGTCAATTCTAGAAGAATAAGTAAAATTTTTAATAAAAATAATAAAAGAAATGTAGATTTTCAGCGTTAATTTATTTTTATATTTACACCTAATTTTTATAATTAATTATTTCGACTGAGTATTAAATTAATCGGATTAGAGTGAATATTTCATTTATTTAATATACATATTACAATTTTAGGAATGTTACAACGAGAATTCATTATGTCGTTAAACGTAATTGTTAATTTAAATTTTCGTTAGTTAAATATAGAGAATAATTAAAAAACAATTTTTTTTTTTGAAACTTTACTGATATTTGTTCTATTCTGTTATTTCTTAACAGAATAATCAAAAATTCATTCTAATTAAATAATTTATAAATTATTAAAATCATTTTTTATGATTATTTTTCATTTATAATTTTAATTAAATTTATCATTTAACATTTATATTTTTTTTTGAACTCGAAATAAATTTAATCCATTGAAATTTATTAACTCATTTATTCGCATGAAATTATTTATTTAATTTTTAAATTTTAAAATTTAAATTTTAATTTTTTTTTTTTTTTTTTTTAAATTTTTCGCAAATTTTTTTCTGATACACTTGGGGGATTCCATGCCAAGTCATGAAACAAAATTGGGTTTTTTAGTTTTTTGACTATATTTTGACAAAAAAGTGCGATAAATCAATTTTTTTTTAGTAATTTGCTGCAGTTTTTTCGTTTGTGTATTTTCTCTTTATTATTATTACTGTTGTTAGCGTTGTTATTATTATTGTTATTATTATTATCATTATTTTTATTACTATTGGAAAAACTATTTTTCTCATTAAGAAGACTAGAGTTCTTAATATATGTTTGTAAACCGACCTTTATATATCAAACACTTTATATATGAACCTTGTCTTGATACCGATTTGATTTTCAATACTAAATCTATTTTTCATTGACCTTTCTAACCTATAATATTGAGACACATGTCAGACATGTGTTTCAAAAAAAGTTTTATTTTTGTTTTATATTTTTAATTAATATCTACATTTTAAACACCACTCTACAGTTACATTGTACTTATCATTACAGATACTATAATAAAAATTCACTGACGAAGGCACACATCAGTTGCCGAAACGTATGAAATAAAGGAAAAGTTTTTTTTTTTCATAGAATCCCCATGTCAAAAAATTTATAAATACATTAAATTATATTAAGGGTTCAAGTTAAAAACATCATAATACAATTATCATATCTAATATTTTTCAATTCAATTCAAATAATTATATAGAAAAAAATAGTTTTAAAATTTAAGTAATGGCTGATTCTTCATTTATTTAAATAAAAGTTAATAATCAAACAATGAATTGACCACTTGGGAAATGTTCAATTTATGACAAGTTATAAAGGCGAACCGGTATTCAAATATTATAAAGAGCGCCTGGCTAATTTAAATAAAAATTGAACATTTAAGCAAAAGCCATATTTAGTAAAATGAAGAATAATATCTTATGTTAATGACCCGGCAGGGAATGGGTTCGTGGAAACTAACCTAAATTAATGTAATAGTATTAATATAGTCAATTGTTTATAAGCTTAACACATTTATTGAATATGACACATTTATTTATAACTAAAATTAGTATGATTCAAATATTTACTTCTTATTATGTATATTATTAACTAAAATGAAACAGACGTGACAATGTCAGTATGTATTCTATATAAAAAGAGCTTTAATCTTCATTTAAAAAAAATTCTAAAAAGATTTATCTTTGCAGAAATGTTTCTGATGAGGACACAGAATTCTGTGCCGAAACGCGTCATGTCAATTGTTGCAATAAACTAAAAGCCATTTAGGCTTTTAATTAAAATATAGCATGTTCTTGACATGGGATCCCCCACTTATAACAAATATTAAAATAAATATATAAAAACTTTTCTAAATTTATACAAATTAAAATTTAATTTGATAAAAACTATAATAAAGATTTATTATTTAATAAATTATTATTTATTTTGATTGGTATATAATTTTCTTTTTAAATAAAATTTAAAGCAATATTTGGATATAGAAAAGGATGAAAAAACGTATAATTGCATTGAGAAATTGGGTTGCTTAGAAACAATATTCTTATTTATTTATTTATCACACACCAAATATACAAAAATGAACCGTATTAATATCAGAATATAATATACTACTAAATTCAATTATTTTTAATAAAGATATCTTACAAGATTAGAATGATGCTTAAAATCATCTACAGCATTCTTCACAGTTGGCACAGAAATTCCTGTAGAAAAAAGTTTTCTACGCTTGCTAGCGATTATAAATAATTATTAATTTACGGAATCTTATAGATTTAAAAAGAGTCCTCTATGTAGTTGTGACGGAAAATAATTCAAGTTTTGCCTAACTGTGGATATGTTATCTCCATATTAGATTTATTTCAAAACAGAAAATATATATATATTTTTTATAAACACAGTCTATCACTATCACACACACAAATACACACATACTCTTTCTCTCTGTATTGTTTATAATTATAAACAAGACACAATTCATCTTTAAAATAAAACTAAAATTTTAATAAACCGTTTATTTCCACTGGTTTGAAATTCAAATCAAACATGGAGATTTGGCAATAGGGTAATCTCGAATTATGCTATAAATCACCAAGACGAATCAATACTGGTTAAAATACGCCTATCATTTTTATTCCATAATCATTTTTTAATTATTAGCAATGATAAATAATTTAATTTATTTTTTAATTGCAATTTTTACAAGTTCATAAATAAATAAAATAAAGAGACTCCTTTTTTGTAAAATAAATTATTTATAAAAATTGTGACGCGCTCTTAAGAAAGAAGAAGCTTTCATGTGATTTCGAAATAGTAAACTTGTTTAATTTGAAAATTTAAGTATCTGGAATAAAAAAGAAGGTGAATTTTCGAAAATATTCATTTGCCTCGAATCATTCCTATTAAAAACATGGAATGTATTATCTTTTTTTTACTTAGATGCCTTAATAATATATGATTATATCACAAGAAAGATCAAATGCTCTGTACATATTCTCGCTCGGAACATCAAATGCTCTCAAGTATAACTTATTTCGAGTTTTTTAACTTCTAAATTATAGTTACAAAGTTAGATATGTCTCAGGTTCACCTGATATTGTACTTGAATGAGAATTCAAAAGCGCTTTTTGCACTTGACCGTACACGCATTTAAATATAATATATATTTATTAATATATATTTTTTTTAAAATGCATTGTGCGGCTTTTTGTTCTTTTCTACATTATATCTCTAATACCTTTTATTTATGTGAGTGTGGGTATTTTTTTTTTCTCTTCTCTTTTTAGAGCCATCGCATCGACATGTTAATTTCTCATGACCAAGGTTTCATTGCTTTTCCCCTTATTCACGTTTGTTAAATTGGCACATAACAAATGGCAAGTTTCGCATTGGCACGATTTTATTGGAAGATTGTGGGAAGATTTCGTCGACGTAAATTAATTTATTTTTTAATATTCCACATTTATATTTCAAAGACCGTCTAATTACAAATATGCGTGCCTCGAAAGACTTATTTTTTTCATACACAATTTTGGCCAATTAAGTAATACTTAACAATTATTGTACAGATATGACACAACGAATTTGAGAAACATTATTCACAATATTACACACTCGAGACGAAATGACAGAATTTTTTCGAAAAAATCAGACTCAGTCGTCACAAATCTCAAAAAACGTAATTTTTTTTTGACTATTTGTCGAGAGTCAGAATATCGATAATATTGCAAAACTGAAATATTCTATGCTATTGAGACAGATGCGAAGAAATGTGCTTCAAAATTTCTGAATGTGACAAAAAACTTACAGTTGCCTTAATTTGTCTTCAGTTTTACGATCTTTTCCAATTGTTTACAAATTATTTATTTTTGTATTTAAAAATTTAGTAAAAATTAGATTTTTTTTCGAAAAAAATTTGGCTATCTACATTTTTGAATTTTAGTGGCGACATTAGTTTATTATTTTCCACTGACTGAATTGTACATCCTCAACTCTCGATGAGATCATTGAAGCGAATTTTTGAACAAAAAAAAAAGAAAACTAATTAAGTAAAATACACTTCTGATTCGTTTTCGTCTTTTTGTAAATCTGATTCAGTTTCTAATCATATACATATAATATTTTTGACCAGCCAACCTCAACTACAGATTTGCGTATACATTCTTGCGTGAATACGCACGTGCACTTTTTTTCTAGGAAAAGTGCACAATTGCACGTGGTCCACTGATAGTTTAGCTTGTCTTGATGACGAGCGACGATTCAATTATAGGGCCAGGAATGTCTGATTGACGTGACCACGTTGGAGGTAGGCGGGTCATCTGGGCGTCACTTTTTCATGTCATTCATTAATGATCCGTCCTTATTTTTATTTGCATCTAGACTCGATTGTTGACTGCTAGTTACGCCACTTCCATTCCCCGGATACATTTTCTCCATATGATTTAGAGATTCACTCAGGAACTTCTGCGGAAGAAGAGAATATTTTGTATGTAATAAATATCATCAATATTTTGTAGTGAGAGTTGATTCTCTTTTTGTATTTCAACTTAAAGATTAATCCAGATTAAATTTTGCAACCTGTGTGCTGCGTGCAATGAAGCTACTCCAATAAAAACCATTTTCGAAGAATTTTAAATAAAAAAAATATTTTTACAAACAGAAAAATATATGCCTTACAATATCATTCAATTTAATTATCTTCCTATTTCTCTTTCCACGAAAAAATATCAATAAACATTAAATTTCGGCCTCCTACACTGGTGTAACCCTTTAATAAAGAATATAAATGGATTTATTAAAAATAACACTAGATTAGATACAATAGTAGCGTGAAACGCGATTCTTAGAAAAATATGAGATTTCCCGAAGTACGACTTCTCAAATAGAAGATCCAGATCGACTGGCTAATTAACGACTACTTCCCCTAAGATCCCTGACTTTGTCCAAGTGCTTAATTGTAAAAATAGTTAATTGACGTGATTTACCTGTATCGCTGTAAGAGCTGCAACAATTGCAGGACTTCCAAAGCCATGTGATATAAGAGAAAAATGTGTTAGATGTCTCTGTATACTTGGATCAAGGATGTGTTGTGGCCGTGTGTTACACAAGGGTGATCGATCTTGATTCAATAGATCCATGAGCTCTTTGGTGATTTGTCTAAATCAAAGTAAATAACAAATGAAAAATATGGAATATCTTATTTATATTTTAAGTTTTAGTAAAATAAACATTGATATCTCTATTGAATTACTAAAGTAACGTTATCAAAACGAAATTACTTTTTAAAACTTAATGAGAAATGTTTCGAAAGTTGAAAAATCAAACGAGGATAAAATTTAATGAATTGAAAATTTGGTAAATATTTACTTGGTGGCATGAAGCAGTTCTTTTCTCCTATAAGAATCCTGCGGTTCGCAATGCTGTCGACTAAGGTATTCGGCAACTTGCTTCGCTGGAAATTCCGTTTCACAAACATATCCAAAGTCTCTGGCAAGGTGAATAGCCTCTCCTGTAACCATAAATTAATAATTAACTTTAATTATGTGTTCTTTTTACAAATTTACAGCTTATACTTAAAATACCTTAAAAGATATTTTTAATTAATTTTTTTTCCCAATATATATATAATTTATTTTACTGTAATTTAACTTTTTATTAACTTTTATAATTTCAATTTATTTTATTTAACTATAATTATTAAATTACATATTCTTATCTATTTTTTGTAACAAAACATAAAAGATTATCAATGAAAGTAGAATTTGGCACCCCTAAACAACGTAAATTTAATTAATACTAATCTTTAAATAATTATATATAGAGAAAAATGAAATCTTAAATCTTGAGATTGAAGAAAATCACTTTCAGTCAGACGAGAGTCTGACTAAAGTCTTCTTTATCTACTGCGACTACTCTTTTGCATTCACTCGTATTTATATTATGTTCAAATGAGTAAGAAAGTATAAATATTTCTATCGAAATTTAATAAAAGATTCCACTACCTAAATAAGTGTTACTTAATATTATTTTTCAAAAAATTTATAATAGATATTACTAATTATTTGATTGTAGTATAATGAACTGGTTTGTATATAATTTTAAACACAGAATGAGAAGACAAGGATGACCACCAAGAAGATATAATTAGGAGAATTTATAATTTATGCGACCTTCATAAATTTAAATCAATGTCTTTGTTTTTAAATTAAAAACCCACATATAAAACATTGCTTTTACTTGCCAACATCTTTAGTGACTATTAAAGTTCAATTTAACAAGATTTATCATCTACTTAGCATTTATACGAGTAGTTGGACATTAAGATTCAGTTCATCGTGCTTAAAAATAGCAAAAAAGAACCGTATTTTTTTTACTCAACCCTAAAATTTATATTCTTAGATTTTAATTTTTCAATATTTAAAGTAACAAGGAAGTTTAGTTACTATAAAGTCACTAAATTTTCACTAGAGCAGGGTGCGGTAGTTGACGAGAAAAAAAGTTATTAACGAGAAGTGAATTGAAGAAGTGAGTTCTAAATTAGATAATTCGCTAGAACTGCAGGTGCCTCGCGCCTGAGGAGCCTCTGGGTAAAAGGGGAAGCCCCTGGGTGGTGATCTCCATGATAATAAAACTCAGCGGGTTTACTTCCTTCAACCTGTGGCGTTACATGAGCTTTTTCTCTAAAAAGTACCTTTCTTCAGAGCGCCCCACATTCGTCTTAATATTTTTAAATAAAAATAAATGCATAACGTTTTTAAAAATGAAGAATTTTCTCTAGTTTGGAATTAATAACTTTTTTGTCGAATGAGTGCCTGTACTTCAATTGTTATTTATCAGTGGCAAAGTGCTCGGCAATTATAACACAATTATATAGAAGAAAGATATTTTCTAAATGGAGACTTGGTAATCACACGCGATAATTGCTGCTATTTCTGCGTAATTGTACGTCATTATGTAGTTTATGCTTGCTATCGTAATGATTACGGTTCCTGCCTTAATAATCATTATTAAATTACGATTGACAATATAAAATTCCATAAAATCGATCAAACAACATTTTTTTCTTTATAATTTAAAGATTTCTGTGAGTTTACATTTTAGGCCTTCCATCCTCTTTAATGTGTTAAAAGATATACTTATTTTTAGTGAGAGAAAACCTGTGAGAAATTTTACTCTTCATATAAAACAATAACTAGATTGAATGTTTGAAGAAGAATAATTTGTCAATTATGATTTTCAGAGTTCTTATAAGCTCGATGCGCTTGAGAGCACACGAGTGCAGCAATCAAATTGAAGGTAACTATCCTGAAAAGTGGTTGAAGTTCTGAATTGTTTAGATAATATTGTGCAATGCACTTAAGTGGAACGCCGTGCTCGAGAAACTTGCAAATAATCACGGATCAGTATTTCATTCAGCACCTCGACTATTTAAACTATTTTCTTTGGATTTAAGTCAAATTCCAAGTTTTTCATTTTAATTTTGCAATTCCACAATAAAATTGACAAAACTTTTTCAAATACACTGCTACAGAGTAACAAATTTTAATGTAAAGGAGAAATCTGTTTGAAATATATCTGCTTTTTTTGTGACAAACATTTGAGAAATACGAAAATTCTTTTGCAAATAAAATATTTTACAACCAAATATCGATGTAGAGATTTTGAAAACTAGATAGTATCTTTTGGTATTTACAATTTTGTCGAATATGTTTTCAGTTTTTCGCACTTCTATATATTTGTATTTTATCACGTTTTGAAGTTTTTTATGATTTAACAGATGTGTCTAATCCTACAATAGTAAAAATTTTAAATAATAAAAAATATTTAAGAAAATTAATTAAAAACGATTAAATATTACTACTCAATATTATATAAAACACCGAATTCTTTGAAATTTTCTTTTTTATTTTTTAATGAATCATAAATTTTTTCTTAATTAATTATTGTCGATTGCAAAAAATATATTGTTACATGTTATATTTTCCAATTACATGGGCCACTATTGGACGTGTGGTTGTAGCATATATGTATAAGAAAAAAGTTTCCTAGTCACGTAATATGTTTGTGCGGCAATGCTATACGTGAAATTGGTTCTATCATCTATGGCAAATATCGCGTTCCATGACTTGCACTTAGAAACAATTACGATCAGAGTATTTTAACAACTCTGTTGCTTTCTATTCATCACGTTATTTCTCTGAGGTTTCTCACCTCTTACATTATAAATCACATATGATTATTCATCGACAAATCAATAGTTTTTACGTAATTTTACTTGATTCATTTTATTTGCTAACGTACTTAATAATTATATAGTCAAATCAACAATACTTGAAAGAAATATGTCTTTTCAGTGAATGAAATTATCTAAAGAAAAACATAAATAAATCATGACATTATAATAATTATATATATGCGTTAAACCACTGTATAGAATATAAACATTGGGGAAATTATTTTGCTTTATCAACATTTTTTTAATTTTATTCTTTTTATATCTGTTTGAATATGATCTGATTTAGAAGTTATGCACAAGCTTCAATTGTAAAAAGACTAATAGCAATCGTCTCACACGGCGGGCGCTCGTTTGCCCGTCATCTGAGATCGATGATCACGATCTTCGACCGCAAATGATGTTCCATTATTTCCATAATGGATGTTTGTGAGATCCGAGAGTGAGAGGGAGGTTACAGAGGAGGAAATAGATTTCGGGAATTCTCTTCCGCGAATTGAATTGAACATATATAATTCTACATCACGAGATGGATCCGTTATATTCATCATTAAAAAAAATCTTATGATTAGATATGAGGAGAACAACTTTTCTCTATTCCAAGACCACCTATTTTTCTGTATCAATTTATTATATGAATGATCACATATTAAGATCTGCATTTGAATAATCATCATTTGTTTTTTAATGTTCAATAATAATAAAAATGAATTTTTCCAAAATGACAATCACTTTTATTCGTATGGAAATTAGTTGAGGTGTTAATTTTCTTTCTATAGAGGAAGCGTCATCACAAACTTTAAAAAAAACTGTAATTACGAAATGCAAATAAACGATGAAGTGATTTATTCTACTCCATCAATAAGTTTATTTTACACCTTTTATTTTTTTTAGCTTACTTAAAAGTGGAACGATTATTGATGAGAGAGAGAAAAAGAGAGAGAGAGAGAGCGCAATGCTCGTACGGAATAATTTATTATATCATTCTTAGAACGACTTTCAATTCATGTGCAGTTGACGTTGGCGTTTAACATTGATCTAAGTCATGCAACTCGACATTCAATTCATTCATCTCTATTATTACAACAAGTCTTTGATAAAACATTATTTTTCTTTACAATTCCCTAGTTTCTCAGAACAGTCGATTGATTAAAAGAGAAATTCCCTCAAATAATTTTTAGTCTAAAGAACTTTTACTTAGAAGGCCTTAAAAAAGATTTTTTTCTCTTTCTTTCCCTCTGAGTAAAGAACTAAATCCGGTTAATGATGCGCATTGCATTTATTATGACAGAATATCTAAAGTAAAAATGCAGAATGTAAATAATATATTTGCTAAGTTTTTAAAATTAATAATTTTAGCTTTGCAATTAATGCGAGGTTGTACAGAAAGTGCAAATTACTGGATAGTGGGTGGTAATATAATTAGAGAAAATATTACTTTGTCCAGAGTTTGTTGGTTTAGAGATTGTTGAACTTAAGGAATATATTGGTCAGCTGTGACGTGAAGCGTGGGTGAGATATTTGCATTCCTCTTGGCGAACTTGTTTCATTCACGAGAATCATGTGAAAGGTGCAAAGTTCTTGGAAGATCGCAATGCCTAAACAGTAATAATGTTCGAATGAGAGGAAGTTCCTGAGTTTTCTCATCGTGACAATCAGTGACGAATTACGCATGAATCATGCACTTGAGAGAGAAACGAGAGAGACTGTTCCCACACTTTCACGTCTCATTCAAGACTTACTGTGATCTTGATGACAAGAAGGACCGTGTGGGCATTGCCTTTAGTTTGACCACTCTTTTTTATATTCTATTCATTTAATATGAAAAATTTTTTTTTTAATAATTGAGTATACTAAAAAATTTCTGGTACATTAATTGTGGAAGTAATATTATTCTAGTTAGTAATTACTTCGATAGTAATTTTCCTTATATTCTAGGGACAATTCTAAGCCTTCGATTTAGCTATTGTGAAAGCAGCTTAAATTCTCATCAACTACCCCACCCTGCTTTCATTAAAACCTAATCAATTTTTTTTAAATATACACTTGATTTATGAAGTTTGCTTTATATAAATCCTCAGCGTTAGATAATATTTTAATTTTTACTGAAATATTGACTCAATTAGTTAAGTACGAATATTCAATTTAAGTAAATTACTTCATTGCGGTGAGTAAAAGGTAATTAATCACAAGACCGACAATTAATTGGCTTTTAAGAATATATAAGTAATCAATTCTTATTTAAAATAAATGTTTCTCCATGTAACAGATTTATTATAAAATTCCATGACCTATTAAAATTATAACGCCTATGATTACAATGTAATTTATTATAATCAACGGGTATTAAATAAATTATTTAAGTCTAATTTTGTTGCATGCTTAAATTTACGTCAAGTTTCAGTTATATAATTGGAAATATATATTTAAAATGCAAGAATACCTTAAATATATACTGTATAGTATATTTTCTTTCAATTAATTTTCAAATATAAGAAACATTTTAAGAATAGTGTAGAAATTTTAATAAATTATTTAAGTATTCCTTTGAAGCTTGGGCCTATCTTTTATTTAAATAAGAAACATTTAAATAATATGTAGAATAAAACGAACTGTTTCATTAGTTTTATTGAGTTATGTTTTAAAATTGTTTATTCAACTTGTTTGTGAAAACTTTTTCAATAAGTAGACAATAGAAAATTGAATAATTTAATTAAAAAAAGAAATAGAAAGTCATTTTAAAGAAAATAGAACAATAATATCTTATGAATCCTTATTACTCTGTTTGCTAATTTTCTAATTCAAATAAAGTCTTGCTTTTACAATTTTGAGTTGCTTGATTTCCTCAACTACTCAATTTTACATGTAAAAAATTATAATAAGACATTTATTGCATGAAAATGTATACCTTCTACCAACGATGTTAATAGCGTAACGTTGGCAGCCTTCCTCCTTCCGGCTGGTAAATTCAGACCAATTTTCTCCAACTTTTCCCTCAATAGTCTGCCACCATTTTTTGATTTCGCTCTGCAAACAAATTTCAATATTTAAATAATCATAATTTATCAGTATCAATTATTTTTTTTTATCATATTTCATGAATTAGCAGTAATTTAAAAAAAAATGCAAAACTGTTTTACAAAATAAATAAAAATTTCTAGGAAAAGTTGAAATTAGGAGAAAATGAGATTGAAACTCAAGTGTCATTTCTCTCGAGGATATATTTATTCAAGAAATTAGTGCAAAATCGATTTTGCATGAAGAATAACTATAAGATCATGAAACTGTAAATGAGATGAGGGAAGCTTCACTTCCGGACGTGATGAGGAGTTCGCTCCACTCGTTATAGAGCCTTGTCTTGAAAAGGAACCTATTGCTCTTATCGTCGCGACAGGCTAGATTCCCTTCCATTCAGGATGCCTCTTTCTTACCCCCCCATTGTCCCTTTTCGATCATCAACTCATCGTGTCCCGTTCACTTGAATCTCTCAGCAGCAGCTTCGGCAGATCCCTACAAATGCCGAGAACTCAAGAGTCGATCCACCCTGATTACTCGAGTCCTCTGCTGCTTCTATATACTAGCATCGTTATAGTTGTTAACGGATCCGTTCTCAGTTCTCTGATATAGATCTTGACTGAATACCGATATTCAATCGAAACCCTTTTTCTGCGAGAGAATCAAATTGTGTCTAACGCTTTCCATTCTCAATCAACGAAAGCGTTAAATTTTTCTTTTTTTTCCCCAAACAATTCGTTTGATATTCTTCTTTTTCTTGTTGAATTAAAAAAAAATGTTTTGAAAATACTAAAAGTTATTATTAAATTAATAGTTTTAAAATAGCAATTTTATTTTTGGTGATGTTATTTAACCTCAATAACAGTTGAGGAGAAATTTTTTTTTGAGAAAGTAGCAATAAAATTGAGGCCATAGATTCGTGATATATTAATAAAATGCTAATTAAGCTCATTTCAAATTTTTACCGTTATAGTTTTATAATTTTCACATATAAGGTGTACTTTAAATTTAATAAAAGTACAATAATTTTATTAACGATTTTATTTTATTCCTTATATTTAACATAAGTAAAATAGGATTTATATATTTTAATTCTATATTTACGTAAACTTATTTTCCAAATTAATTTAATGTAGTTTTTGAAAAAATCATCATATTGCAAAATTCACTTAAAATATTGAATAATGATTTTCAAACTATTGTTCTAGAATGTTTCTAACGTTGAGAAATATACTTTTAAAAATAATTTAACGTTGGGGCTTACATAATAACTTTCAGAACATTTACTATTAAAAAATATTTGAATAATATATTTATAAATAAAAACTGCAATTGGTTTTTAAAATGAAAAGTTTATGTTGTGGTGAAATGGCAAATAAAGAAGCTAAATAAAAGTGTAAGGAGAACAAGAAACAGTCTTGAAGATTGGGGAAGAGAGAGAAAGAGAGTTAAACTGAAGTGTAAAATAACACTGAATGAGGGTGTGATTTATTCACGCCCTTTACGATAAAGCATTGCATAATGAATAGTTTTCCACTTGAGTGAGAAGGGGGCATCAGATAAGGAGGAAGTCTGAGAAAGTCATAAATCTATTTTATATACTCTTTGCACGTCAGAAATCAACTCAAATGACTAAATACAATTTTCTACGTTTTTATTTACAAATATAATTTTGGAGTTTAAAAGTCAGACTTCAAATTCGTAATCATTTAAATCCAAAAATACAGTTATAGTTATAACTAAAAATTTAATACCAAGAATATTTTACAAATAAAATAATAGAAAAAAAAATATGAAAAGAGTAGAAATTGTAAAGCGTGGTAAAGAATAATGACATAAGATACATTTTGCAGAGATGGTAGATATGGGAGCGACAATGATAACAGGTAAGAGTCGAAGAACAGCTGGCAGAAAATATATATATATATATGAATGAACTTGGAAGAGAAAGAGAGAATTACAGTCGTGAATGGACCAGTCTTCGTTCGGTACTTTGCTCTTGCCTTATGTTAGTATCTAGTATATATATGGTAGTTCTCTCAGTCTGTAATTTACATATACGTCGGAGTATTACGTTGGGATAACAACACCTCAGAGAGCAATATAATGTATTTTTCGATCGAACCAAACTAAATTATGTCTATGATAATCGATTCTTGGAAATTTATCTTAACTACGGATTAAACATATATTATATGCGACATTCTTATCTCACGTCTTCTTTTTTTCATCAGGCTAATAAATTTTTGAGTTGCCTTCACAGAACCCAAAAAAATATTCGTAGGATACTTATATTTTCAGTTGCAATACAGATTCAACTGATTTAAAAATTTAAACAAAACTTTACAACGTCTTAATAATTCTTATTGTTTTACGAAAAATGATTAAATTTGAAAAAGAAATGTGAAATTAATTAATTATGGCCAATCCCTTGCCTAAAAATATCGATCCTAAACTTATCGATTGGTTTTCCATTATATAAACCATATACATTTTCGAGGAACAAATCAGTTCTTATTTGGGTGTCTCTTTCATCAGTTCTTCTTCAAGAAAATTCAAGTTCTACCTCTGCTAAAAAGTTTCTGCATCAAGTGTCTACGCTCAAATAAAACTCCTGCTCGGGGAGCAGTATTAACTTTTATTCAAGAAGTTATTCAAGTTCAACGTCAATTACTAGTCTTGAGCAAGTTTCACTGTCTTTGGATCTTCGCCAGCTTTGGGTTAGTTTTGCCCTTTTTTAGGTTTGCCAGGCTTGGACCAGTATGTCGACAATTTTGGGTCGTTCCTCAACTGATTGACTTCAGGAGGAAAAAAAATTACATTTTAAATTAAAGTAAGTCATTTCGATTTATATTTTACTCTAGAAATCTTAATTCTGAGTTCTAAGTGTTTGATTCTGCTTTCAGTGGGATCAGATATTTGAACAAAAAATCAACCTGCCAGTTTCTACGAGAGATATTTGTAAAAATGTGAAAAATAAACAAACCTTTGGTTCATGTACAAAAAGCATTTTGTTAATCTCACATGGTAGTATTATATTAAGGACAAGTACGAAGAAAAATATATGTTTCAGTGTAACAGTAGCTTCTAAGCATGGAAGTAGTGAATTTGAAATGTAATGGTGCGTGGCTTGGTTTACATGAGATTTCTTTAAAGTTAATAGACATAAGACTGTTGTTCAGATAAATTTGACTTGCACAGCTGGAACTATATATGCACCCATAAACTTACCTCCGTAATACCCCGCCGAGGAGACTCGCGTTCAAGCACTCCGGCGGTGATAATCGTCTTTGAACCTCCGCCACTGTCACTTTGTACTTGCTGGTGCTGCTTAATAACGATAACCTTCCAGGCACCGAACAGAAAACGTCCGAAGGTTGTGCGTTCCCTGTTAACATAGCCTTGTCACCCCTATCCGATGGTTTCATATCTGAAAGTAAATTAGATTCCTCTATTACATATACATAAATAAAACGAATATTTTAAATGCCATCGTTATTCAACAAAAAAATAACGCGAATTGGACATGTTATTTTCAGAAAACATAATAATTATATTTGAAAATTTTAAATTTTAATGCAATATCTTAAATTTTTAAAATCAATGTTAGAAACAAAATTCTTTAACCAATTTCTGAAGAATCACCCCAATCATTCTTGAAATCACAAAAACATTTTACGAATAGTGAAGATGTCATATATATTTTAGTTAAAATTCCCTGAGTACTCGGAGAGAAAATCTCGAATATTATAATTCGTGGATATAATTTCTTAACTTGTCCAACAACTTTTCGAGGTCTAAGACGAAACTAGCAATTATGTCATCACATGACATTCGAGTGAATTCTTAATTAGAAAATGTGTTTTTGAAAAATTCAATGTCTTTCAAAATATTGATTTTGAAATTTTCTTCACGCATCAATTGAATAATTTGTCATATATAAAAATAATTATTTTTATAGAAAATATAAAATTATATTTATACGAATGCGTTTAGAAATGTAAAATTTTATATTTGAAGAGAAAATATTTAAGGAATATTAAAAATGTAAGCATATTGAAAGTAAAGCAGTCGATGAAAATTCATTTCTATATAATACATCGATAACTCGCGTTATTGCATCGGCATCGTTTCCCTGTGGAATGCTTAATATCGAGAAGGGCTGGTCAAAGCCATCGTGTTATTACGCAAACTATAAAGCGCGATGGTCAGCTTGAAAACTCTTCATCGTTGAATTGAGACTTGAACGATGGTTGGAGGTAGAATAAAGAGCCTCTAAACAAGAAACAAGGGTTGCCTTTTCAATCCTGATTGAACAAGGGGTTATGAGAGTATTAGCTGCTAGAGAAATTTAATTTCTTCAAATTCCTTAAATCAAAGACTGACGATGCAAAGATTACCCTCTAACATAAACCCCAGTATTTCATTATTTTTGCAATCCAAATTTTTAATATTTAATAAAACAATTTAATAAATTCAATTTTAATAAGAAATGAAATTCGAGTAAGATAAAATATGACAAGATTTAATCATTTTTATAAATTTATTTTACCCTTCTATACCTTCAGAAAACTAAATACAATTTCAATTGTATTGAATCAAGAAATATCACATTATTCGTTATCAGTTATTTACCTTCTTCGACTTTCATTTGTTCATAGTTTATCATAAGTTATTGTACAGCCTCCACATAAAGACACTATTTGCGGAGGCGTATAATAATTTATTTTACGATAATAAGCATAGCTTCCATCTTATAGCCTCGGAGAGAATATGCTTATATTGGTGTATATATTTTAAGCACTAGATTTCGAGGTAAAGTTAGAAAACTAATAGTTTGCAATTTATTCTCGAAATTTAAACCGTTTGTTGCAAAGTTGTCTTACGTCTTCTTTACACACTGCATTTACATTTAAAACTTTATATTATTACTTTGCCAATTACTTACCCCGTTATTTTTGAATAAAAATATAAATACAAGGCTTTTAAATATTATTATCATTATTTAAAAGGAACAAATTGAATGAACTTATGGTTGTGATATCCAATATTTTCTAACAGAATTTCGTTGCTTCGAATAAATATTGAGATTGTTCAAATTTTGATTTTTACAATTTAATTTACTCCAGTAAATAATTTTAAATAATCTTTTTTAAATCACATTTTAAGAATATTAGACATTTACACATAACGACAAGATATAAAAATGCAGTGGATAAATATTTTCAAACTTATATAACTACAACTATAAATTTTAGAAAAAGCATAAACACCTTTATTATTAACTCAATTTGAAGCATAATATTTTACGAAATGATAAAACAAAATGTTGAACACTACCATATAATATAAGTTTAGATGATGTTCAAAGTACGAAGAACAGTACTTTCCGATTGACAACGTAGATAAGAAAACCTTTAATCTTGATAGGATGAGTATAGAGAAGTAGAAAATTACATACTAAAGATTCACAACGGCACCAAAAGTATTTCGATTGACAAAGGAATTTCACATCTTACCAAGTGTCCTTGTTAGAAATCCTGATTATTAACAACCTAACAATATACCAATAAAATGTAATCGTAGTTTAACTTTCGTTTTTAATAATCTATAAATCATATTTTATTTAATCAAAAAATTAACAGATGTAAAATTGAATTAAAATTAAAAATATATGAAGGAGAAAGCAAAAAACTGATTTTAATTTTCGATAATAATAAATGATTTCCTAAAACCCATGCGGAAACCAAAAAGAATACTTTGAGTGTTTGATAAAATATAAATTATTCAAACATATCAAAATGCCTAATACGTGTAATTGATTGTACGTGCAGAATATATGTAGGAAGAATGAAACTTTCTCAGATTACGGATTAAAAGAGATAAAAAAAAAATTCTAATCACGCAGAGATAATATTTATTTAAAAATGTTCATCTGCTTTGAAAGGTTGGAAAGCAGGTTTTTCAGTAGCTACCGATATTCCTTCAAGTTCTACTACCTTCTTGTCTAAGACGAGATATAGTCTAGGAAGTGCAAGACAGGAGACAATTTGTCACTACAGCCGGGGCGTGGATATATTACCATGTAACGATTAAAGCCAAGGTGCTTTGAGGTTAGTCACGACCTGCTTCACAGAGATTAATTGTCACCCATTTTATGATGGCAAATAATTATTAACGGCCTATAGCTTTAATTTCCATCAATTATAACGTATTACCCTGAAAAGAAGGAAGCATATCAGCAGATCATAATATTCTCTGCTGCTTCATTTGATATGCACACGAAGTAAGAATGAGGAGATTTCATACTCAGTTTATACTCATTCTCGACATCTTGAATTAATATCTTTGATCAAATCACCGATTATCGATTTTACGTTAAGCATTACTAAAAAGTCTAAACTTTGATTATTTTCGACGCATAAATATTGGATAATTCTAGATAGATTCCATATATCGCAAGGAAAGAATTATTTGCGGCCACGGAAATTAAAAACTCGTCACATCCGTTTGTATACGGTATCTATTAAAATAAACTCCAAACAAAAATCCTGATATAGTATCGATAATTAAGCAATCTCGACGCATATTTATTTTTTGTAATTAATTATATGGTATTCGAGTTTAACTAAATATATTCTGATTGACTGACCCATTTTTTTTATATTTCACGAGTGGAACATTAAACAATATTTTTTTTACATAATCTATTATATAATTTGTAACAACTTTAAGGGTTAATACAGTGAGAAGTCGAAATTTACACGATATTATTGCAATACTGGAGAGATTTATATAAGAAAGGTATAAAATGGGAGCAGAATAGAAGCGGTTAGTAGTGATTGCTGTGTAAAACGGCAGGCTCTGTAATTTTCATTCCATCGGAAACGGGGTGCAGCGAGAGCACTAAGAGCACCAAGAAAACCAATGAACACTCAATGAAAACGATATCACGATGCTGCAAATGAGCGGCCTTGACAACTATATCGTCGATCATCGAGGCGATTGCAAAACTGCCAAGAATTTATTTTATTACGTATCTCACAACGACATCCGGTTAATCAATATGTTCATATCATAATTTTCAATTTATTTTTTATCAATATCTTACAATACTTGAAAATCATATATAATCTTGAAAATTATTAAAAATTTTATACTTTTAAAAGAGTAACGGAATGGATTGATGCATTTTTAAACTATGTTAGATCAACAAAATTGTGAGGTTTTATATATAAATAATTTTAGTTTCGACAACTTAATTTGGAAATTAATTAAGTTTAAATTAGTACACAAATATCACGCGAAGGACTCAATCCCTCTCATATTACTATATGCCAATAGGAAATTATACATGATCAAAGCTATAATTTAGTTAATACCCGGCGAAGAGCCGTTGGATGATTGATATGCCAATACTTTCGAGGAAATGGATAATGGTAAAAAAAATGTTATCACAAACGTTATGCTAAGAAAAAACTAAGCACAAAAGTATACATTTTTTACAAGAATACAGAAATTGTTATTACAATTCACATGAGAAAGTAAAAAAATATAGGAATGATAAATTTATTGCTCTATAATATTACAAACTATACTGATTATTGATTTATTTGTTTCATATATTTATGGTTATCATATTGATATAAAAAAATATTTAACGACTTTTATGAGAAATAATGTTACCAATCTGTTCTTTAATCCTCCGAAAAATCGTCGTATATATTAATTACGAGGTTTATTGTCGCGAATCAAAGAGAATATCGGCTTTTCAAAGATTCACGGATTTAATGAGAATTTAACGACTTATTCATATAGTGTGGTTGTAAAAGCAGATCTACGCTTTAATTGATCACTGTAAACGAAAAAAAAATATATATATGTATTTCACGTATATAATACATTGACTCAAACTTTGTGTTCTAATGCAAGCATCATTTTAGCAAATATTTCAAAATAAAAGAAATGTATAATTATAGGGTTATAAGAATCGAGGACGTAGAAAATCTAAATTGCTAAAATGACTATAATTTTATAGAAGTCATAATAATTAGTCTGAGAAAAAAATTAATTATAAAAAAATATATTTTGTTATAGAGGTTATATTATGAAATAGCCAAATTAATATCCAACAGAAGGAGGATTTAGAATGTTTATGATAACGATAGAAACTAATCAATTATTATATTTATATAATCAATAAATATATTTCTCTTTTTATATCATAGTAATGGTATACTCCAATTAACACAACAACACATGTTCCAGTCTAAGTTATATGCAATCTCACACATCTATGTTCCATAGTGTCACTAGGTTCGGTGCGCGGGAGAATCCCTTTTTGGTGCGTTTACAATACTAGTGTGAGTTAACATTTCTTACGTCGACTTACGACGGATTCCCCACACAAGTAAAACTGTCCAATTATGA